GGGGGGGGGGGGGGGGGGGGGGGACAAACCTCCACCAGGTTGACGTGTTTCAGCACAAAAAGCCACAACTTGCAAACACAGGGAAGAATTACTGGACTTGTAACAGACTGAGTGACACTTGGAAGACAGTTCGGAAAAGGTGACGGAGGGGAATGGGGGTGGGGAACAGTTTGGCAGACAGAGCCCCACCTAGTGGCCTCTGCTGGAAACGGTGACCGGATATATGAGTGATTTCAATGCTGTACAATCGACAATAAGGTGGTGGGCACAAGTTAGAAGCAGTAAAACCATTAAAATAAGGCAACTTTCAATGATCGTGTCCACACTGAGGGGTTGGTACAAGTCTTTTTTTTTTTTCTCCTCTATTTTTATCATTTGGTTCTTTTTATATTTTCCCCTCAATGTCCAGCCATAAAGTAAATCAAATAATTTTCAGCCCCTCAACTGAGAGCACTGGGGCTCTGCGGATGGAAATGTCAGTCGCTCGGTTCAAACCACTTTGGTCCGGTTGGATGTCAGAAGCAGCACGGCCTCCTCTAGCAGGGCTTTCAGATGCTCAGTGTTGTTCGAACTTTTTCGAAGTCTCCAATCTCACCACATGCCGAGGAAATAATAATCATAAATCTGAGATCTGGGCGAAAAATCAAATATCTTTCAGCCAGCAGGACAGTGACGATCAAAGAGGGGTCCCAGTGACAGAGAGGGGGGGTCAACATGAAAAAAGGTAATAAAAAAAAAAAAAAAAAGAAGAAGTCAGGAAATCATCACTAAACCATCCACCGTGTGGACTGGCAATGATTTGCAAAAGAAAAAAAAAAAGAAAAAAAAGTGTTTGACACCTCATCCATTCCTTGCCTCATTAAGACAAAAAAGGTTCTTTTTTTCCCCTCAAAAACATAAAACTAATTAATAAACCATATTAATTTTCCTTATTTCTCAAAAACTGTCGCAGTTAAAAAAAAAAAAAAAAATTATTCTCATGCTTGAATGAAGAGCTAGACGCCCCCCTCCCCCCTCCTGTGGCGCAGAAAGAACCAGCGACTTGCAAACGTGGTTGAGTTGATCCATGTTGGCCGGCGTGTTCGTGGAGTTACTTCAGTGTCTTGGCATCTGGTGCGGGGTCAGCAGTGGGGGCTCTCTGGCTGGTGGGTTTAGCATCATCCTTGGCTGCGAGGCCCTGGGCGGTGGAGGCGGGGCTGGGGCCTGAGCTGGCCTGGCTGTGGGGCCGGCTGGAGGGGAGAGAAGGGTGCCGGCGGCGACCGTCCCCGCTGGACGAGTGTCTTCTGCGGCCTCCTTCTTCCATAGGTGGCTGGAACCAGAAATAATCAGAGCGGAGATTAGATGGTGGGTCGTTTTCAAAGCACAACAACTTTTAGGAAACACAATCAATGTGCTTCAGTAACCAGGTTACTCAGAGAACACAGGTTACATAGGTAATCAGATTTTACATTACAGTCTTCTGTCTTGCAGAAGCCGTTACCAGTATACATTGAAGCAAAATCAGGAGAAACCTACCTAAGAATACAGGTTTTCTTGTAAGCACTGTGACTCCACATTCATCTCGTCAAAATGTTTTGAGACCCGTTTTTAGAACTCTCATGATCTTAGCAATCAAAGACGTGTCTGACGTGTTGTAGACCATCATATCTTTTTGTGAAGTGCATGAAAGAAGCTTCAACCTCCCGCATATATAAAATAAATAAAGGAGGAGTCACTTTTGTTCTGAAAAGCCATTTTTGAGTGAATTTATATCAGCACTGCTAAACTGCTAAAGCTAACAGACGACATTGAAGCAGTTGTGGGACTTTTGTTATCCAAACTATTAAAACACGATGCGGCATACGCTCCTCACTTACATCAATTCTGAAATCTTCCAGACGTTTAAACTTGCTCAGGTACTCCTGCAGCTTGGGGTCGATCTCCAAGGTCTTGGCTTTAGAGTATTTAAGGAAGGCCCAGAATTTCTCCAGTCCATAAAGCTGGCCTGAGGACAGCAGACAGAAAAATGCAAGTTAGTCCAGGTGGATTAGGCGAGTCTGAAAATGGTGCCCCCCCCCAGCTGAGATGGCATTTGTGTTGTCTCTTCTGTTCTGTCCACAATGTTTTTGTCAGGATTTCTCACCAGCCTCGTAGTCTTTCATGGTCTCCTCCTGGAAGTCCTTAAAGATGTCTGGCCTGAACTTCCTTTCTAGACCGTAGCTGTAGTACCTGAACAGGCACTCCAAACCGTACCTGCAACACACAAACACAGAAAAACACGGCTTAAAAACCAAACAAACAAACCAAGCTATGCCCGTAAATGCCTCTGCCATCACTGGTCAAGGCTCTGACCTGTATCCTTCTTTTCCATCCTCGACCACCAGCTGTCTAAACTCTTCGTACATCTTCCTGTTGAAGTGATCTCGCAGGAAGAACGACCAGAAGCGGAAGAGCGTGTTCATCTCCTGTGATTGGCCGATTCCCAGCCGCTTTCGCTCTGTGATTGGTCGAGAAGGGAGACATAAAGTGGACAGGGTTACTTAAGAATACAAGATAAAATCTAATCCAAACATCCAGCATCACTTCACCGTTAGAGATGATTCTGCAGAGTTTACTGAAATTTGAAGACAGAAAAAATAAAGCGGAAGAGAAAGAAAAAAAACATGCGTGTACCATTAAGGCAGCGCCGGCGGTACTTGTGGTAAACATGTTGCGTGAAGCCGTTCTCCTTGAGCAGCTCGTGTGATGGGTGCTGGAACTTGGGGAGAGACTGAGGTGTGCAGCCAATGTTACCCAGGACAGGGGTGCCCTCTGATGGGCTGGCGTTAGAGCTGAGAGAGAAAGGTGGAAATGGAGAGTGAGAACAATGACATCATATATTTAGAACTACTTCAGTGTTGAAGTCCTGAGTCTGAGGTGATGTTTTTCTTTCTATTACTTCACAAATCACATAAAAAAACACTTATTTTTGTACATTGTGTATAAGCTTAAATATTAAGTGTTAATCTTAATAAGTGTATTGAAAGATTCATAATATGAAAGAATCTGTTGGTGTTTTTTTTTTAACACTTAATAAATATGTACTTTTTATGGTCCATTAATGCCAGTTAAAATGAACAAATGAGAGCATCTGTGAAATACTAGAGGAGTTGTTAAACAAATCATAAGTACTATGATTTGTTTAACAAGTACTATTCGAAGGAAGAGTGCAGAGCAGTGAGTCTCACCTGACAGACGCAGTACGGGAGCGATGCTCTCTGGAGTCCATCACCCAGCCGACGTGACACTCCATGGGCGGGTTGGAGCTGTGTCGGGTCTTCCTCTTCCTGGGCGTCTGAAGGGTTACAGAGGAAATAAACAAGTTTAGAGGGTAAATATCCAGCTACAAATGTTTAATGATTGTGGATTTTATGCCCATAAAACCTTAAAATCACACTGTAGACATCTTACCTTGGCATCTACAGGCCGACCTTCCTTCACCACGGGGTAGAAGCGTGGCGTCATTGTCTGGTCCTTCCGGTGAGGTGTGCGAGGCGTGCGGGGCGTCCGGGCACTGCGGTAGTTGGGTGAGTCAGGCACGGTAGTAGGGAGGGAGCGAGCTATTGAAGAGGGCTCGGGGGCACCGAAGAGTTTGTTCGCCAATGCGTCTGTGGGGACTGAGGACGTGAGGGAAGAGATTAGATGCGCAGCAGTATAAAAGACCAGAGTTGTTCACCCTCCAATCGAAACGTTTCCTCAATATGCTTCACTTTTAGCTCGGCAAATCCTGAAATAAAACTTATTTCAAGGGCTCATGATTGATGTTCTAAAGTGAAAACCACAGTTGTTTCCACTTTAACACGATGACAGAGAGATGAAAGGTCTCTGCAAGTTTACTCAACATGGATTTACCGCTTTTTAAGATCTGTTTAAGTTAGGCAGTCCTAAACTGACATACAACCTATACAAAAGTGGGATTTACGCAGTGGTTTAATAGAATGTCTTTCATGTCTTCACAAAATAAACAGGCATCAGTGACGAGCTCTCCCATTCTTGGACTAATACAATCAAACAGTAACAAGTGTTTAATATCCTTAAAGCTTCTTCTTTTAAAAACAGGCATTGGAATATGGTGGCTGATCTTATACTTTCTTATAGCTCATGATTTATCTCAGAAAATGCTTTAATTCATTTTCATAGGTCAAACTATCACCAAACTATCACAATAAACTACCAAAAATAGGAGAAAGGTCAGAAAAATTACATGTTATTTTGTGTAGCAGAAGTACAGTTTGACTTTTTTCCTATGCTGTGAGGCGTTTTCTGACACCTCAGGTTTATCTTTGCATCCTAGACCTCCATTTTGGTTATCACTGCTCTATGAAACAATTATATAACTCACTGATATAAGAGTTTTAACTTTGATTCAACTCGTCAGTGTATGTAAAGCTGGGTCAGTTGTATGTGTTTTTGTGTCCTTACTCTGCTGGGGGCGTGGGGGGCCTGGGGGGACTTCCTGGTTGGGGTCGACAGGAGGTTCAGGGGTCAGGCAGTCAAACTGTTCCCGGCTGATCAGGTGGACCTTCTTGAAGTTCTCCACCTCTTGCTGTAAAATGGAGAAAGACAGGAGTCAACATGACAACAACTGTGATAGGAATCTGATCTCTAGGTTGTTTATTTTGGATAAATGATAAAAATACTTTGACAAGGAGGAATAAAAGGGGTTTGATGACATTTTAAAGATCGATACACATGGTGAAATGTGCCAAAAAGGAAGCGCAGTACACGTTACATAAATAAAGATTAATTTTACAGAATTTCACAGACCAAACAAATCTCTCAGTAAACACAATTACAAAAGAAATTAATTTAAAACTCTGAAAATAACCCTTGACATTAAGGAAAATGTAACCACGTAAATCATCAACAGACCTTATCTGCAGAAATCTGGAGACTGAGATGCAGCAGCAAAACATGGCTGCCAAAAACACTCTTTTCACCCTCATGTTGAGGTCTCTCACTGGTCTGACACCAACCAGCTGCGTTACATCAATACACCCTGAATATTCCACCAGTGAAGACCTCCTAATAACAAAACAGTTGCTGCTCCTCCTCCTACAACAGCAGCTCAATTTAAAATCTTACTATTAACACACAAAGTCAAAAATGTACGAGTCCCTGCTTAACTATTTCACCAAGATTATGATCATGTGCGACTCACACTTGCCCCTTCATTCCACCAAGAATCCTCAGATCTTTGAGCGTCCATCTTTGTCTTTCCCCCTGCAGCCCGTCAGCTCGACCCCTCAGGCCGAGGCCTTGTGTGTGGGGTTTATTTATAAACAAGCGTCCTCTGTTCCACACGCAGCTGGATGCGTGCTGGCGAGCACGTGAAGGTCCCACAATGAGCTCAACAATGCTACAATGGGCAGCAATGACAACAAAAAAAACAAAACAAACTTTCTGTTCTGTGTCGGGTTTCGATGTCCAGAAACAGCTCTAACTGAAGAGGAATAAATCTACTCATCATCTGGTCTTGGGCAGAAGCACCTCCAATATGACAATGGCGTAACGTGGAAGCTGTCAGAAGATTCGGCCCTCAGTTATGTATCACTACAGGTTGTATTATTTGATACTAAACTCCACTCTGATTGAGTCTTCATTTTTACATGTTTTTTCAGTTTTGTGCGACAAAAACCTGTTTATTTTTTTTTAAAAAGTACAAAATCTGTGTGGTAATCAGAAGTTAAAAATAACAATTTCAGCATAAACAAACCTATTTAAATTGTGGAGCCCAATTATCAACCTAGTTCCAGTTGAAAACTGGTTTAAACCAACCTGCTATGTGGTGTTGAGGCATTGCATTTTGTTTTGTATTGTTCTTTGTATTTTTATTCAATAAACTGAAAGAGACGGCTTTCTTTTGAAATTATGAAAACAGTCTGTGAAATGGACACTTTTGTTCTGTCTGGGTATTTTGACAAAGCCTGGTAATTAAGAGAAAATCTTTTGTATACGTAACCATGTTGTTTTTCAATTGAGCAATTACACACAGTACGTGGTTTGCAGCAATGATTTTGTTTTTCTGTGGGACATTTTAATCATTTTAAAAAGGTATTACATGAAAATAAAAATAAAAAATCGCTTATTCATACATCTGTCATTAATCACATTAATGTAGGCAGCTGTTTGTCTTGCTTTTGGCTGACTGGTTCAGCCAAACTGCCACCAAATGATGACTTTAGGATTACAAAAAGATTTACAAACAGAACTAGTGCATTAATTCTTATTTATGGGTTAAAATCAAGCTGTATGAAGAACAAGCATCCTTGGATCAGATGTTGACAATAGTCTCACAGCATTTGTGAAGTATCTTTTCTTAACAGTGGTCTAACTCAGTCCAGTGTTGGTTTTTGATCTTATTGTTGGAACTATGGCTAAAACCATGTTTAATATTTATTTAAAACCATAACCAAAGAGGCACTTTAACACAGCTCATCAGAATGCATTAAAGTGACCAAGAAAAGCCCAAACTTGCCCCTTAAAATACAACAGCAGTGAGTTTTTCCACTTCTTCTAATCGTCTTTGTGAGTTTTAGAAACCAACTGTTCCATTATGAAGATGCATGAGCTTAGAGACAGTTATACCTGGAGTCTCTCTCTCCTCACTCTCAGCAGTGATGGTAGAAACAAACAAACACCCTCACCTTGACCATAAATGACCATTCATAGGTCGACCATGAAAGATGACCTCACCTTGATGGTGGCGTACTCCGGCTCGTACGTGTCGTCCCACAGGTCCTGCTCATAGTAGAAGAGTCCATCGTTGATCACTTTGACCAGCTCGTTGGTCAGTTTGGCGCGCGATGTGTGGTGTCCTGTGCGGTCGCCTCCCGGGTGCTTCCTCAGGTACGGCGGCGTCTGAGTCACAATCAGGATTTTGTTGACGTCATGGTCATCAATCTCGCCGTCCGTTTCCTCGTCCGACCAGTCGGTGAAGGTGTTGCGGCGGCCGTCCATCTGCTCCATCTCCTCATCGAACATGAAGTCGAGCTCCTCCGGTTCGTCCTGCTCCGCTCCGTCCTGAATAATAAGTTGTTAGTTGATTATAAGTTAGAAGTAAGTTGATTATATGTTTTAAAGGATTAAGAAGCCATATATTGTCTGGTTTCCAGCTTCTCAAATGAGGATTTGCTCTCCATTTTAAATTCTTTGAAATTGTGTTTGAAACATTTACTAGACTAACTGGAAACTAATAATGAACAAACTAAAAGAGATGAAAACCATTGGTTGCAGCTCTGAAAAGAACTCACCTTATTTCCTGAGGTAGCAGGGGAGGGCGAGGAGCCAGGCTGGGGCACCGGGGAGCGAATCAAGTCGTCCTTTTCCTTCTGCTGCTGCAACGAGGGGGCCTGAATCCGCCAACCAACAGTGACCATAGGAGGAGGGAGGGGGAAGGAGGAGGAGGAGGGAGGAGGAGGAGGAGGGAGGAGGAGGAGGAGGAGGAGAAGATGGTGAGTATAGAAAGAAATTAATGGATGAAGGAAAGGACAGACAAAAGTTTACAACTGTAATTTTCTATGATAACTTAATTAATAGACTAATTATCAGCACTATGTGTCCGGCACAAACACGTTTTATCATGAAGAAAATTGGAGGAAACTTGATTTTGTTTCTGTAATATATAGAAATGAAGATTATAATCCATAGCCACTTTTCTCCGACTACAGCAACAAGACATCATAGTCCATGTAAAACCAAATGATCATATGAGTGAGTGAATTTTACCTTCTCTGCGTTGACCTTGGGTCTGGCCGGGGAGGGTCTGGGCCTCTTCTTGACCTCAATCCAGGACTCAGAGTCCAGGTCGGGGAGGCTGGCAGAGAGGCCCTTGGGCATCGTCTTGAGGTTGGAGATGTCTGATTCAGTCTTGGTCTTTTGCTTTACGGGTGTGGAGGCCCTTGGAGACCCTGCAGCAGACACAGAGGGTAACGGAGAATATTACTTGTAGCAAAGATTTAGTTTTCTTGTGATTTGAAGAAGATTTGAAACCACAAAATTATGATGCATGACAGGTCAGCCTGCAAAAAACTAATTATTCTAACATTTTATTATTGATTACAACCAAATAAGGCAGATCTCTACAGTAGAGTATTCACCTCTGGGCTCCTCTGTCAACTGTCTTGGGACAAACTCAGGGCAGTTGATGAGCTGAGAGAAATCGGTGTGGGTTTGGTTGGGCATGCTCAGGCCTGGCAGAGGCCACTTCTCTGGATCCACCTTCCGACGGATCTTCATGTCGATCACTTCCACTTCCTTACTGTCCTTCAAGGCCTGTTAGGAGAGAAGATGGGTCAGTTAGTCTGTGCGATAACAGAAATATAATACTCTCTGAATTAAGGACCTCACTGATGTGGATGGACATGTGATATATAAAGTATTTGTGTTCACAGGATCAAGTGTGAAGATTATTATTAATACATATTCTGTCAAATGTTTAAAACACCATACTGTTTTTTTCTATTTGAGTGCTTAACTTCAAGTAAAAGCTTGTAGTAAATAACTTCAGGTCACTTTCACACCTAGTTTGGTTTAAAAAGAACACAAATTATCCATTGTTGCCTTTTAGTTCTGACGTCACTGACTTTTTACAAACCAACAAAGAAACAGAGGTAACTCATTTATTGGACAGTTCTGATGATCATCCTGCATTATCAGCGCTACATGGACCCATGAGGGGAAATCAATTTCTGGTGACTGATAAAAAGTCATGCTGCACTTTACTGAATGTGTTTTTATCTTCTTCGGAGTCACAAGGAGCTCTGAAATTAACTGATTGAACTATATTTCAGACTGCTCCTGGACCTGCCTTCTCCTAAGGTCTCTCTTTTGCGTTATTAGACAGTCTCTATAATTAAAATGAAAAAGGGTAATATGCTTATTTGAATGATAAAACTGATTATCACTCTCAGTTGAGCTTAGCATTAAGACTGGAAACAGGGGAAAGGAGCTAGCCTGGCTCTTTGCAATGACAACAAAATCCGCCTTCCAGAACCTCTTGAGCTCAATAATTAACACGTTACATCTTGTTTGTTTCCTGAAGTGTTTCTATGTCAGGATATACTTCTTATCCAGCTGCCTGTTGCAGTCAGCTTACTGTTCTATAAGCTAAAGATACTAATTAACTGTGTTTGACTCGATTCAGATCTATCAGACCCTTTTCATATTTCTTAGCTTTTACCTTTTGACAGCATTAAAATGTTTCTTTTCCTGCCTGCTTTTGTGGATGTTTCCTTACCCGTCATGATTTCAATTAACTGCTGCTAACCACGTCAGATTATTGTTCTCCATTTTCACTGGTCACTTTTAAAGGACGAATCAGGGAGTCAAAGAAGTGTACTTACTTCCAAAATGAGGTTGACGTCTGTGGTGAGGGCCTGCACTCTGTGGAAACTGGCAATGAGTCCAACAGGCAGGAAGCCTTCCTGATCCATCTTTCTCCGCAGGAAAAAGTCACGCTCCAGGTTGTCCAGGCTGAAGTAGTACTCACTACAGGGGGCAGAGAAACAGAGAAACACATGGTCAGCATTATCCAGCATAGACTGACAAATCAGGTGTGAGTTGTTGCCGTTTTCTGGGGAGAAGTGCTCCCTCACATAAGTGAGGGAAATGAAGAGAAAGTTAAGACAACTGAGAAGCACACAGTCAGATTATGAGCAGAAGGAATGAAAACAGGAAGAGACCACACAGGACTGCACTGACTAGATAGAAAACATTTAGCAAAAAACACTGGAAACAGACTTTGGTTTTCAAGTGTGTCACTTGTAACCAGATACCATCCAAGGAACTACTAATCAAAAACAGAATATTTGACAGGATTTCAAGCTCTCTGAGTAACTTGATACAGACTTAAACTGAAGGGGGCACTGGGTGCACACAAGGAAACTGTTAAGCTCTTTCAGTCAGGTGCCAAAAAACTACTGTCTCAACACACAATGTCTTCATCTGCAAAACCTTGACTGTGAACCTGTAGTTTAAGGGGCGAGGTGCATCGTTTTATTTCTAACATTGTTATTTGCGTTTATTTTAAAATTTAAGCATCGGCTAAATCATAAAAGCACTACGGTCACAGCTTATTTTATTATTATAACTATTATTAAGGGTGCATCAGTCAAATTGTGGCCTCTCTTCCATGCAGCAAGAAAAAGAGAATATATATTTGCATTTATTTTACATCTTAATGAATAAGACTCACAAAACCTCTTATCGTTTATAGCAGTCGACTGTTTATGATTCGGCAGAATCCAAATTGATCAAATCTAAACAACAGGCGAGCCTACTGACCATCTCACAGGGTTTCTGCAGTGTTTACCGGATTAAAGGACTAGTGTGAACAATTTAATGGCATCTAGCTGTGAGATTGCAGACTGCAGCCAACTAAAAGTCCTTGATCCAACCAAACCTGAAGGAGAAACTACGAGTTAATATGAGGTAGGTCATATGAGTGAAACTGAGTGACAGGGGTTGTTACTGCAGTTGCTTAAACAAATGTATTTTGCTTGCATACAACTTATTTAAAAAAATAAACAAGATCTCTCTCTGCTCGCTCTGGAATGAAGCACAAATGTAACGCCATAGTTCGTGGCAACTAACCCTACTATGGAAAACATTACTGCCTACTAGAGGCAAGGAAAAATACCTCTGTAACTTTAATTTTAAACAGTGTCCTGAACACAAGGCAAGCTTTTAGTCTGAACTGTAGTCAGGTAAGAAGTTTTGTACTCTGATGAACAGCTGGATAAATGAGATCAGATCTTATTTAACTCAAACCAGTATCCAGACCCAGACCAAATATCTGAATAAAGGTTCAAATGTACTGTCTCTACAGCAGTGTGGTTGGGACAAAACAACATGTAAGAGTGACTAAGTATTTATTATTTTCTATTTCCATGCTGAGATCAGAGTTGTGAAAGTTCTCTCCATTAATGTTTAGTCAGAGAAGAGACATGAAGAGCTCATCACTTCTGCAGCACGTCTGCGTGTCTGTCACCAATCTTGTATTTGTTATTGTGTTCTGTGTTTATCTCGAAGGAAGGAGCTGCACTTACATCTGCCTCTTGATGTAGTCCTTCAGCAGGTCCTGATCGACGGAGTAGAGGTCGTTGCTGCTCATGTTGTCGTAGTAGTAGGTCACTGTGTTGCCAAACTTCTGGCTGTAGGGTCCATCTTTCATTTCGTAGGACTTGTAGCCGTAGTGGTAGTCATAGTGGCCTTGAGAGGACAGAAACAGCCAAGTTAGATGGAAATCAGCTTATAGTTTTCTAAAATATTTGACTTTCATGCTTCACTGGATGTTGTCTATTCGAGTGAAGATGCCAGACTGACTCCACAGAATATTTCTGCGTTGTTTAGGGCATTTATTTTAATAACACTTCTTCACTCATGAATCTCTGCTGAGCCAAAGTGTTTGCAGCTGGTCACACTATTGGTTAGTATTTGATGGTCAACAAAATCTAACCAAAATATGGTCTAATTTTGGAACACAATGTTAAGTTGGAAGTAGATATATTACCCAGATTTATTCATCTTTTTAGCCAACCATTTAGTTTGAATTCAAATTTGAGGAAAAGTTGTAGGATTTGGGAGAGTGACAGAGTAGAGGAGCCAGAGAAAGAATCAAAGGTTACAATAGAAATAAAACTGCTATCAAATTGTTCTTTTAGTAGGATATACACAAGTATATATTAAAATGTACATCCAAGTTGCAGACCTATCACAAACAAAGGTCAGCTCATGTACTCATTTTGCTCCAGACATTAATAAGAAAAACAAATATCTAAGAATTAAATAAAAATAAAAAAAACTTAAAGAGTGAATGCAGTCACTGACAAATACAGAATGCGTTTGTGCCAGTATGTAGGAGCACACACATGCAAGAGCTGAGTAAATACAAAAGACAAAGTTCATCTGCTCAGCATTAACTCTGACCGTTTTTTTCAGTGCTGCTGAAAGTCAACAGCGTGTCCTCGAGGAGACGGGGACGGACGTAAAACTCTTATTTCTTCCTCTGGGTTGTTTGTAATCTTTGTTTTCTTACAACCTTTTCTTCCCTCATGAAATTCAAAGAGGTACCAGTGATTTCTCTATCTCAGTCTGGGGAGGGGAGTGAGGAAGGAGGAGGCAACAAACAGGGAGAGTAAGTGAGAGGAGGGGAGACAATGTGTAGGAAAAGAGAACAACAGGGAGGAAAGAGGGAGATTCCTGCCAAAACCAACAGGCCTTCAGGGAAACCTGCTTCTCCTGCTGGATCCAAGGCCTTTCCTCATTCCAACATGATCTCTCTGGCTGTTATTGCACTTTTTTGTTTTCACTGGAGCCTCCGTGGGGCCGGTTTAGGGTCACTAACCACCCAGTTTGAGAGCAGAGTCAGCCCAAACACAAACGAAGCTACATTATGGCACAAAAATGTACACTTAAGTCAGATCGCTTTTTTTGTTGCTCAATTTTGTAGAGCAAAGTCAAACATTTATAGCTTGTACCAAGAAAAAGATCATGAATATTTAAAGCAGTAGGTTATTATTTTGCAGAGATGAAAGGATTGATGCCACTTTCATGTCTGTATGCTAAATACAGCCGTCAAAAAGCATAGGTTATCATAAAGACTGGAAGCTAGCCTGGCTGTGTCTATTTATAACCAACAGCACCTCTATAATGTTACTAATAAACACATTATATTTTGTTTGTTTAATCCAGGAAAAGAAATGCAGCAGTTGCACAACAGAGCTCCCCATAAAACCACAAGCTGTTATTTTTACATGACTTTTGTCCCTAAAAAGCCAGTGTGACAAATATGTTAAGGGTGGACAAAATGGTACAGTTTGTTTTGCCTCACTGCTTGTTCCAGGTGAAGGGTCTAACTGACCGTGTGGAAGGCTGTAATCGTTGCCTGCTTTATTGGATCGATAAACTGTGATAAACTCTGGGGTATTTCCCACCTTTATTGGCATTTTTTGGGGCAGAGTTAATGTTAGACATCATTGGTTAGTAGTCTAGTCCTGTTTGGGACTGGCCACAGCACTAATAGTTCTGTTATCTCCTTTAATCACAACAGCCCTTTCCTATGTTGTGACTGCTGAGCTCTGTTGTTTAGATCTGTTTTTTGACACCAAAACAATAACGAGTGGTGTGATTAGCTACTCAACCAACCGCGCTATGCTTAGTTTGGGAAGTGTAACGCCTAAAAGATTGCAATGTGTTTAATATATTAATAGTAATATCATCAGTGTTTGTGTTTTGTTTTTGCGCTTCAATGCTGAGATCAGAGTTATGAAAATTCTCCTCATTGATGTTTAGTCAGAGAAGAGACATGAAGAGCTCATCACTTCTGCAGCACGTCTGACTGCCAGCACCCTGAACTGCCAGCACCCTGAACCTAATGACCTTTTTTACCCTGACTTTCAGTTTGTATATACTGAGCGTCACTGTGAATTGTTAATGTTTGAATATCAGTGTCCCACTGGCACATTTGTTATATTGGAAAGTAACTGAACTGTTACTAAAAACTGTTTCCGGTGACACACAAGCAGCACAGTGGTGAAATCCACGCCAGTGTCTTTGTGTGCCAGTGTTTTTGTGTGCCAGTGTTTTTCCAGGAAACACAAACAGTGGCTGATGACCACATAAGAAAGGCCTAAACATATCTTGAGGACAGAAAACTGGTGGTAAACTTATTTAACTATTTATAGTGTTTCACACTTGCTTCTATGCGTCTGTCCACATACCTCTTGCGCCACCTCTGCCTCGTCCCCGACCTCTTCCTCTCCCACGTCCGCGACCTCTAAACCCTCCGCGGAACGGCGCTCCCTCGCTCTTCACACTGGACACCTCGTCATGGTCGTCACGCCACTCCCGCTCGTACTTTTGACTGTGCCAGTCTGCAGAGAAACCGACAACAACCTTCCCGTTAGCACAAACACGTCAACACTGCTGGACTAGTAAAACAAAATTAAATCTCAAATGCAGTTTGGTGCAAACAAAGTTGTGAAAGTCAAGGGGAACTTTCAGTAACAGCAGAGAGTCCAGCAGAATGAATACTGTTTTTAATCAGAAGGAAGTTACTTTTAACTTGTACTCTTCTGCACACTAACAGATGTCATGTCCTTTTAGCTGCAAACAATTTCATTTCCTCTGTGAATATAAGCAACCACATTCTTTACACTGAACATTTAAAGGGACGAACTATAAAAGCAGAAGTAGCAGATTAGTAGGCGCTCACACAGATCTCTTCACATCCTGCTGCTGAGTCATGCGCACCGTCTCAACTAATGTGCACCAACAGATCAGCTACAGAAAACCTGCTGTCAGGTATTATCATGACTCAAGCAGCACAAACTAATAACTAATTTAAAGCTTCATGTAAAACCAGCTGGGTGGGATTTTAAAACTCATTTCCAGCCGACACTCACGCCGTCAGCTACGATAAGTAACCTAAACGAATGCTGCATCACTCGCGGTGATGCCAATTTTGGGTGATGACATCGCTGACTGACCTCTGAGGTCGTTCCTGGCGTTGGGAGGCAGGCGGGGGTTTTCGTTCTGTCTGCTGTTGTTCCTGGAGGCAGAGCGCTCCCTGGGACCCTCGGACTTCACCTCGATCATCAGGGGAACCCACTTCTGCTTGTTTCCTGTTTGTAAAGACATGAAGAGGCAACACAGTTAAAAAAGAAAACCTATTCATTTTAATCATTTAGAGTCTAATTCAGTTTTGAACTCTGAAATGTGTCTGTAGGAATCCCTTAACCTTTTATATATATCATAAACCTTCTAAGCCAAATTGTATTTGAAACATTAGCAGGGTAAGGTGAACTTTTAGCAAAATTTTATTTTATTTTCTGCCGAATATTCACTTCAATTTTGTATATTTTGAGCATTTTTCCTAGAAACAATCTCATACGCCTCAAGAGCTACCAAACAAATTGTATTTATGCCTACAGGTAAACAACTGTTAGGAACTGTTTACTGACACCGTTTACAATCTACACTCCATGGAGAAGATGACTAAAAGGTTTTGACAAAAGAAAGACAGGGAGTAATGATAAATCCTGGATGAAATTGACTTGTTACAATGAGGAAAGGGACACTGATTTCTTTTTTTCTCCTCTTGTAACCAACTTTAAAAACTTAAATTTAAGACCATTTCTAAAATGGATACTCTAACACTTCTTGATGACCTGAAAATACCTGGTGTATGAAATGTAAAAAAGATAGAAATTATAAGTTTAACTTAACCACACAGCTCTGCAATCAGCGATCTAACCTGTAAGCAAGTGAGGTTTTGCAGCTACTGTAACATGTCCAACATTTTTCCAGTGAATTTTGTAGTGTATATACTGGGTGGTTAGCTAACTTTTACCACATTCAGCTACTAAATGTTGTCAATGTGCAACTTCTATTGGTGAAACAGCACTAAGTCTCCTGCAGTACTTCTCCTGGCCAGCAGGGTGCATCAGTGATCTGCTGTTTAAACAACATCTGGTTGTAGGGGTGCTGTGGTGTGACAGACACCACATGCAGTGGCAGAGAGGAAATGATAGCAAGTTTTAAGTGACGTGGCCATGTGTCTATCTGCTGACTGAGTAGGTAAGAGAAGGAGGGAGCGAATAAAGGGAGAAAAGTGCTACCGTTTATGTAGTAACAGATCTTTGACAACAGCAATGTGGGAAATTAGTTTGTGGAACTGCTCAAACGGCAAGATGGCTGACCAAAATTTCAGACTTGCCAACAGCCACAATGTTGACTGTTTGTGAAGCCCCTCAAACTTAAAATCCCAATTCTAAAAAGTAGTCAGGCGACCAATTTAGGGTTTAAATATATCTTAATGTGCTCAGCATCGTGGTCATTTTGTTTGTTTTTTGCTTCAATGCTGAGATCAGAGTTGTGAAAGTTTTCTTCATTGATGTTTAGTCAGAGAAGAGACATGAAGAGCTCATCATTTCTACAGCACCTTTGCAGGTTAAGTCTGACAGTAGATCTGGACTAGACGTTAAAAAAAAGCAGTGAAAACTAACTGCGGCTGTCACTACTAATCAAACACACCACACTGGACTGAACTACACATGCATCCATGGCAAAACTGTAGAAAATGTCAACGACTTTAAACATCTTGGACTCATTATAGACAATTGTGTGTGATGTCCAGGGGGTTGTAACAATATATTCAGTTTCGATCAACACATTTCTATTCATAAAGGACTTGTGTTATCCATACACTCAGAGAACTGTCTGTTGCACATCCTGTTGCTTTAATTCAACCCATCTTGTTCCCCCGGTTTCTTCACCATGTTCCTGATCCCCAACAAAAACAAAACTTACCAGCCTAACACATGCTGCCTCGAATATCATCTGCCTTCCCACACCCAAACTCTCACACGTGAAGCACTCACAATAGCAAATGACACTGATCCACCCCCCCCTGACAATCCTCACTTCACATTACTGCCATCTGGATGGAGATACAGGACCTTAAAATGGGGGAGTTTTTGAACAGACTTTGCTGACTATGTTGTGTGCTGTAATGTATGAATGTATTTATGGGCACTCTATTTTCTTTATCTGTGTATTGCTGTTTTTAGACTTCTGTTTTTCTACGTTAAAGTGCCTGTGAATAAAGTCTAAATCTAAACTAATACTTAGGAAGAACTATAAAATTCTTGACGAGGCAAGACATTTGTGGACAAAAGTAATAAATTAAGAATATGGTCCATAAAAACTAAACAAGGCCAAGTCTATACTGTCTGGTTGAGGGTATATTGCTCACTAGAAAGGCCATGTTTGTTGCCTTAATCAAAAAAACCTCTGTATGGCAGCCATTTTAGAGTAAGACCACTCTCAGGTGGACTGTTTAGTATTCATCACTTTTTAGCATGCCAACTGTGCAATCCATAATAACCTTTTTTCTTCGGTCCATTCTTCTGGGAGTCGTCATCACCGTTCTTCTCCTCGCCGGAGTCGTCCGACTTGGCCTTCAGGTTCTCCTTGCTCTCCTCGATGATCTCTCTCTTCTCCTTGGACTCCTTCTTGGTCGTTGTTGTTGTCTTCTTAGGTCCCTGGCAAAGGAAACAGGTTGAGACAGACAGACATTGATTTAGAAAAGAGCTGTAGACAACAGTTAGGCCCACCCATCAGAGGAGACTTAAGACCTATTCAAACAAGGAGAGAATTATTGCAAAACTATTCTGGGTAACACATTTATACAGGGCATGAAAATAGCTGAAACTAGTGCCACAGATTAAAATGTTATATGCTCACATATTAACACATTTTCTAATTTAAAAAAGTGGAATCTGACCTCAAAACCAAATATTTCTTCGGTTAAACATGCACAAGATTACAGTCAGGCAACAGGCCGTTGGCTTAACCCCTCCCCCGAACTGTGACTCTCCAGTCTTAGCTTAGCAATGTAACTAGCAGGCAGTACAGAGCTATGCTAGTTATGTCAAGCTTTGGATTTCTCAGCATGCCAACGTGGGGAACATGGAGCTCTTGTAAGAGAGATACTTAGTGCCCAAAGAGTCTGAAAGGTGCTGTCTTTACTTTAGGCTTTTCCAAAACCATAATTGTTGACTTTTTGCCTGCGACATGTAGCTTTAGCCTCCACCATTCAGCATGATATCACGTATGATGCAAAAAAAAAAAAAAAGTATATTCAAGATCTTTACATGCTACATTGTCAGCCAACTCAGTGAGCTTAATTAGCTAACTAGCTGATAAACGCAGCTAAGGACAGTGGTCCTTTCAACCAGCCAGAAATAAAAAAAAATGCTTTTGTATAAGTCTATGAAGTCAAGGACCAATTGTTTCAAAAACTGAGTAATTTTGAGAGATAAATCTCTGTAGCAACAGTAACTAAGGGAGGGTCGTGTCTTAGCAAACAGTCAACTGTTGCAAATTACTGTTCATTTCCTAGGAAATCTAGACTGTATGTGACACCTGAAAATATGACCTTGCCCAGCAGTTATTATACTCATTCTTCTACTAGCTTATAACCAACACAGTAGCATATATAATCTATAATATTCAGTATACCATACCAAACAAACAATCAATCTAGTTCGTGGAATAAATTGGTATCAGTATAAAAAAATATGTATTAGGAGGTTTTTATATCCACATCAATCCAACTGTTTTAAAGGCGCATTTTATCCATTCAGGTTGGAAGAACGTTATAAAACTACCTCCTCGGGGTCACAATAAAAGTCAAACTGTGGGAATCTACAAGAGTTTTGCATGTGGTTTAGGATTTTCATTATCACATCTTTTGTTCTGTCTCATTTATATGTTTGACTGCTGACTGCAGCAGAGTAACACGAGTACAACCACTGTCCCGCAGCCAAGCCTAGGGTAGGTATCCCATACATGAATTGCCTTCACTGGTTATCTTTGCTCACAGAGCCGATATCGGGGGTTTATTCAAATCAAAAAGGGTTCAGCCGGTCATCTCTGCTACGGGAGCCCAGCTATCAGCAACACACATATCTGCAAAGTTTGACACTCCTGAGGGGTTTGCATAGGAGTCATGCAAAGCGTTTGACTCACGTCGAGTAAGTAACAGGAGATACGACACACTTCAAGCCTCAAACCATACACTGACCACATACACACACACCTACAAACCTTGACATGATCAGCATTCAAGGTATCATATCTCAAACTAATCTATTCGCATTGAACTCAAATGCCCCGCTTCAAACATGCACTGTTGTTCTTAACAACATTGTTAATTTGAGTCTCAGCAAACAGCAAAAGGAGGCACAAGCAATTCAGTTACACTTTGAAACAAATGAAAAATAAAAAATGTGCGAATCATAACCTTTATGAAATGTAACAGGTTTAAAATTATGTGATTAAACTGGTGGAGAAATGATTTTAGAAAGCCGATGGAACACATTTAAAATCTAACTCAAGCCCCTTTACTTTTGTGTGCTTGCTTGCAGGGTTACGACCAATACATCAGTGTGTTAGAGCTTTTAATTTAATGCTCTTCAATGCGTTCCACATGACATATGAAGGCCACAGGCTTAAACTTCCAGTGGAACCTGCAATTACCTTTTATTGTATTTATACAATTCATTTATATTATCCCGAAATACTTTTTCTGTGAAATGTGTGTATTATGTTAAGCCCTTTTCAGACGGGGGTTACGCAACATTGCTTCATCTATCTGTTGAAGATGGTAATGATAGGACCGCTACGGAAAGACTTACAATACTTGTGATATTTGTGCACAGCTGGTGCGCGAGGGGAAGCGATGTTACTGCTGGAAAACACCAATTTCTGTTCACTCACATGCACGTTTAAAAACGGGTTCGCTGAAGCCTTAATTACTGAGCAGATCAAGAGTGTGATGGATGCTCGCCCCCCACTTCACTCTCATTAGTGAATATCCTAATAAATTGTGTTTTCATTTATTAGATTGTGAATCTGCCCATTTATAATCTCTGACAAAGCACAGAGTGAAAATCAAAAATAAACAGAGGAATAACTGGTTTGATTGTTATTGTGGTTGTACAAGGAGTTTTCTGCCCCACACTGTGAGGGAAAAATCATATTTAACTAATAAATACTTGCATATACAGTTTAAAATCGGCACATTCACAGATTTTCCTGATTTATTGAACTGGTGTAATATTGTTATCACATTTACATAACGAGGTGCATGTCATAGCTGGTCTTTAGACTAACAGTAGAGTGCTACTGAAAAAGGCACAAAGTCCAAAACAAAAGTTAAATATAAATGAAGGTTTACTAATCTGTGGCCTAAATGCCAAGCTTGTGTATACTTGATATATGAAATGGTTGAATATAAAGAACGTGAAACGTTGATTTTACATTAAATTTCTCAAAAAAAATTCTTTAAGACTAACATCTGTACTTGTTCCTTTAGACTGCATGGTGCAAGAAATTATAAGCTTATATAATTGTTGCACATCTGTCTGACCCGGCGTCCTCTCTCTCTCTCTCTTTCTTTGTGTCCAATAAGCTAAACTAAAAATAAAAAAAGAACTCCTTAATAATTTGGGATGAACCCAGCATTGAGTGAGCAGGAGATGACTTCAGAGTGCTAAAGTTAGCACAGTAAGCTAACTAGCTTCCACTTTCTGGGTGGAATACAAAGTTATCAGCACGTTGGTTCCTCCCACATGTCGTAAAAAAGGACAGGAAGTTTGAGGTTTCCAGTTTGACTTTACATAGGTTTTAACTGACTTCATGACATTGTTTTGATGTTTCTTTGTGTGGTGAATTTTTAGATGTTTGACTTCTTAGAGGTATAGGCAGGCTGCAGGTTTCATAGGCTGCTGGTTGAACTTACAGTGAATCTCGATGAGTCTCTGACCTGCCTGACAGTCGGCGGGCAGGACACGGTCCGTGTCACTGCCTCAATCTGAACAGAGGGAGGGAAGAGGAGTTTAGAGAAGACAATGAGGTGGACCATGATGTACATGTACATGTACACACACACACACACACACGCACACACACTCATACTGTATGTAGGATATGTACACATAGGTGTACGAACTCTATGGATGTGAGGAGGGAGTCTTAAAACTTCAAATTTCAGGCCCTCAAGTGAATTTACAAAGTCATCAGTGAGTATTTCCATGCAGTTATAATCTAGTCTTTTTTTGTTTGTTGTTATGATGGAGTGAAGAAAACATAATTACTGCCTCTTTAAAAGCTCTTCTGAGGGCACGAGGGCATTATGCTTCTTCCTGTAGCCATCAAACACAGTGAAAATGCCAAATGGATGCTGCACAAGCTGTGGATAATAAGAAGCATCTGCTGAGCTCCCTCTGGGTTTTAAAAAGTACATCCCATATTATCTCAATGGCTACTGTTGTGCCATTACCTAAAGACAAGGCATATATTATTTTGGCTTTGGAGTGTGAAGTGTGAAATGGTAAAAAAAAAAAAAAAAAAAGCCATTAAAGTTAGACAACTGTGTTTAAAGCTCAGGTGTGAGAGGTGGAGTGCGTTTCCTGAAGCAATGACAACATGTGGTGCAACGGTTGAGAAAATGTCGACAGTAATGCTGAGATCAGAGGGATGCTGATTCATTCTTCCTCCACCACAGGAAGGTACAGATAAGCTTCTGTTACAGTCAGCTTACCCAAACAGAAATAAAGGATCATGAACAAGCTGCAGTTACAGAATAACCCACCATCCAACACAAGAAATCAATTTCACTCTGAACAAAAAGAAACAGACAGCAAAATGGGGTGATAACTGATAAGACAAATAGACAAGTAGTTTTGTTACAAACGAACAACAAAACACATGGATGTCTGCGTGTGGGTCACTATAATCATTCCTCCTGATTCACTGACTAATTGTTGTAGCTCTAATTTAATCTGTAATGTCAAACAATGATGAAAATGATGAAAATGAAAATCACATGTTCCGAGCATGAGGCGATACTTGTCAAATTGCTTGTTTTTGTTCAACCAGCAGAGCAGTCCAAACTCAAATATAGTCAAGTTAAAATAATATCAAACCAGAAAAACACACACATTTGAGAACCTGAACCCAAATATCAAAATTGTTGTAATTAAGTAATTTTCTCTTGATTAATTAGTCTGTTAACTGTTTCTGCCCAATATTATTTGTCACTTTGTGTCATAGTGTTGAGATTTAGTGTACATCTCGTAGATGTCTCTTAAATGTCAGGATGAATGAAAATGTGTTTGTGGTGCTTTAAGGACACACCAACATGACATTCAAGTGTGTTTTATGCTTTAAAATCGTCAAGAAAAAAAGCTAAAAGTGCAAATTTATTCAAGTTACAGAAATGTTACCTTAGATAAACGTACTCTCAGGCATTTTTATACTTATTTTCTTAATTTTGGCAACTGGAAATTTTATTGCATGTAATCTGAGGTTTAACTTGTCAAATTAAAACCCCTCCTATATCAAATTTCAGTTTCTATTTCCCAGTGTGCATAATCTGTGGAATTCAGCGATTGATTTAAAGCTTTAAATGTTACGTGAAGGTCCATGACCTCCAGCCCCCTAAAAATAGCAGCAGCACACATCCAGGATTGGTTTAATGAAGGGGATCCCTAAAAGGACATCCCTTCCCAGGCCTTGGCCACTCCACCCCTCCCTACCTACGATTTCTGCCACCGGACCCGCCGGTTATTCCTGGCTCCTATGATGTGACCCTGCTCGGGGACACACGCGCTTGTGTCATGTTCACTCAGACCTGGCTGCCTAAAATAGCGGAGGTTACCAGGGTTGCTCTCCTCTGACACAGTATCGCCCAGAGATCAGAAATAGAAAAACGCCTCTGAAGGGTGACTGACTACTGCTGCTACTATAACAAATTAGATGCATCCCCTGTCGGACCAACAGCTGTAGATATAGGGGAGGGGGTCAGTATGTTGGATGTATGGTGAAGGCTGCTAGAAAAACCTGAGCTGAGCTGGTCTAGACTAGAGTCCAGCTTGAATGCAGCAGGTGTTAAAAAGGCACTGACACACCGGGCCAATGCCGGGCCATCGGTGAGTGTCTGCAGCTGTAGGTTTTGCGGTGTGTTCTGCACTGCTGGCACTCGTCTGCAGCTTTTCCTGCTGACTGAGCATGTCGAATCAGCAGCGGAGGCCACCGGTGAGAGAAATCACTCCGATTGGCTGTTCAGTTTAAGCGAATGAGTGCACGAGAAGAGAAACAGAAGCGAACAAAGCAGCAAATGACTCGGGTGGGCACGCACGAAAGGATTGCCTAATTTTTCAATATCATCTCATGTGATCATTACAAAAGTACCAATGGTCTAATTAACATTTCTATATTAAGATTAGGTCTGCGAAATGAATCAAAACATTATTGAAATCGCAATATGTCGCAGAAACTGCAAATTTTTGATGAAGGTAAAATGTGGTCCAGAAAAATTGTTTTGTTTTCTTAGAGAACATGTTTGTTGTCCAAAACAATAACAATTTTATAATTTTTTTTTTAAGTGAAAATTAAATTTTTTATGCAAAACTGATCATTCCTACTAATTGTGAATCATATCGCATTTGCAATATCTGTCAAAATAAACGCAATATGATGTTTTTTGTACAATTTCCCAGTTAAAACATTTTGCATGATCCCTGCTTTGAGGTCAGCCATCTTTGTTTTGTCTCCAAACTGTCCGAGAGGTCCTGCCACAGTGGTGAGCCTGGACTAACTCTATCCATTAAAAAAAGAAACATGCAGTGCTGAGGACACAAAGTCGGGCCAGCAGAAGCAGACTGCTCTGTCTGGACGTGCTGTTTAGCCGCTGTGTAATTACAGCCACAACCACTAAAATACCTATTGTAGAAAACTACACACATACACTACAGCAAAGTGAAGCTGAGCTGCTCGTTTTGATTGGTTGGCGATTATTATAATGTGTTACTTGAAACTACTAACTCCTTGCTTGCCGTCAATATTAAGGATTTTTTGCTACCGCCACAACAGGTCTCGTATAAAACTTAATTCTATAAGAAAGAACGGAGTAATGCATCCAGTACTGTCACATTATTATTGCAGAGGTATCAAGTCAAAAGTATCATTATATGTTGTTATGATTACCCAGCTTTAATTCAGTTGTCAGCATCATATAATCTCCTGCAGACATCACTTAAACACAAGTATTTAATATCAAAATCTGTCTTTTCTCTTTCTGTCAAACATTAAATATATCTGATGACTCATCTTGAAATTGAGGGCAAATGAATGCAATCAAATGTGATTTTGGGCAACTGGTTAACCATTTAAAACTGCAGGCTGTTTTGGGTTGTAGTAGCTAGCATAGTAATATCACGGGTCAAAGTTGTGTGTTTGGATGTCAGTTTGCAAAATCTGTGTTTACATTTTCCATGCTGAGATCTAATTTATTTATACAATCCTCCAATTCTTCTGCCTCCTGTTCGAACTATGAGGGAGGTGTGGAAGGAAACAGCAGTCCTCTACAGTAGCTCAGGAGGTAAGTAAGGCTTCTTCTGAACGATCCAACCAAATCTAGAAAGATCTTATTTGATTTCTTTTTCCTAAATCTATGCTCACATATTCTCTTTCATACCGAAATTGGTCTCATTACATAAAATAAAGGCACTCCAACATCCATTTCACTGGCTGATTTTAAAATATTTTTTGGTCACAAAGTCATAATGTTGAGAACAACGCACTTATAATGACAGTCTATGTAAGACCTTATCCACCAAAACAATGAACCCCTATCAGGTCCAGAGGTACCATCAAGTTAAGTTGTAGTCAGACCTCACTTTTAGATATAAATCTAAAATTGCAAACATTAAATTGCTGATTCTGTGGCCTAAGTAGCTGACAGGAAGTTAAAAAGGCAAGTCTGACATACACGAGTACAGAGAAAAAAAAGAAAATTCAGTAAAAAGTTCATTACATGGACAATTTCTTCAGTTTCACTAAAACATATTGTACATGTGTTTACATGTATGGAGGTTGGCTCCACTGCAGCAGCTACGAGAGTGGTCAGTGGATATCAGCCTCACCTCATCAGTGTGTTTCTCTGCACATCTACCAACCTGTAACTCAACACTTCTAAAACCATCAATAACACCTACCTGCACTTCTTTAGTTGCGATCTCCCCTGGAGTCGGCCAGCTGTTGGCATCGCCAAAATCTCCAACCTGAGGAACGACGTTAAAAAAAATAAAGCTGAATTAGAAGAAGTGTCACATGTATCTGGAAAGTGTTTACACAAAGACATCATAAAAGTTTGCGGTCAAGGTGTGGTTAACAACCCTGGAGTGGGACTGCATTCAAAGGTGGGAAGTTATGAATGAAACGCTTTGGGGAAGAGTTTGTATGGTTTATGTGCCAGGCCATTGGCTCACCAGGAACTCACATTTGTATTCCAGGAAGTGTGAAGGGAGATTGTTATACAGCTTGAGGCATTACAGATAAATACTGCACATACTGAGCTCTGAAGAAGCTCTGAACTAATGAAGAACTTCTGTTTGAATTGGCCCCTGAAACTTAACGTCCATAATGATATAAAATACAGGTTGTGTTCTCAATTTGTAGTCATAATATATAAGTATTTAGAAGAATTAAAATAATGTACAGGCAGAGCAACTGGGAAAAACTGAACATTTGAATCCGTTCTTTTAAAATTTACAGAAAACAACCAACTGAAAATAAACACACAATTCAATACAGTACATAACTTGGCATTTAATAGCCTGAAAACCATACAAATATGGATGTCTAACATTAGCCATTTACCAATATTTAATGTAATTAAATGGATATTGTGTTATATTGTCAGTACAGTGTTTCCTCCTCTACATATTTCAGAATAAATGGCTAATTAATATTGTATACTGGAATTTAACATTGTTATTTGTTAGACTGATATAAACAAATGCACAAAGTAGCATTCAGAAAGTTTTTATTTTATATTCTATTCATTAATATTTATATTCTTTATTCCCAAAACCTTTATCCTGACTGAACAAAATACCTTAAAAAGGGATCAAAAATGTCTTCAAAGAACGTTGATCCCTCGTTTATTATTCTACCCGTTACATGTAAAGTGTAAGAGGAGGATATAGTTCAATAAAGAAAAGCCCTGAAACATCAAATAGACTTTGAGACAATGATTGTAATTCTATATAACAAAAGAAACAAGTAGCAGCTTTGATTTTTTTTAGAACCAAATTGGACTCAATATTACGAGCTATATGAGCTACATTACTTTTGAAACTGGGCTGATATTGAAATCAGGGAACTCTAAATTTCATTATATTTATTTTGTCTTCGGTATTCAACCCCAGCACCAGTGACACATACATACAGACACACACAGAATATTACCTTTCCTCCACGTCTGGCTTTGGGCGGGTTGCCTGCTCTCACCACCTTGGCAGGGCCAGTAGACTCTGTGGAAACACATTGAGATAGTCGACATTACAACAGGCTCTGCATACATGAACACAGATCGCCTAAAAACAATCTGGCAACAGCAGTTCATGGAGGGGAAACCAAGAAATTCAACATTTTGAAATTAGTTGAGATGATTGTGATAAAAATCAGCTGAATGGCTGAAGAGCGTTTTTCTGCCTCAGTTTTGCCCACACGTAGCAACTTGTCCGTTAAATTAGTTTTCATTGTTTTTTATTAACCTTCCCATGACATCTTATCTACCTGCAGCAGGTAGGCTCTCAATAAATGATCTGCCTTCCTTAAGCCTTTCGCGTCTTTGCCTTATACGCAGCTGTGGCATCATTTTCAGATAAACTAAACAAAAAACAACCGCAAGACACCAATACCACCGTCTTTCTGCCCCGTCAGTATTATAACCAGGTAGATCAACGACACCAGCCGCTCAACTCATCACTCAAAACATATCAGAGCAACAAAACAGCAGAAACGGTCATCAAGGGGAAGTAATCAGCCTGGTGGATCAAAACAAAATATTCATAGACATATTTCCTCACGTAATTCCAGTAAAAAAACAAAAAAACAATCAATTCATTATTTTGTTTAAAAAGTCTGAAAATATTGTAAAAGGCACATCGCAGCTTGTTTTGTCTAACAATCCAAACCCCAAAGATAATAAATATATCATGATACAAACGAGAAAAACATTCCAGCTGGAAAACCAATGATCCAATAAACTGAAATAATTTTCTCATGTTTGCTCCCATCCGTTTTATGTATATTTGAACTAGTGGCTAACTTTTGCACCTGGTTGATTGTTTGTTTTATTAGATGCCAACTTCCAATATAGCGTTTGTTAATCTTCTTTTCTATTAAAATATTAATACAAGAATGAAAGCAAAGGTCAAAAACTAAAACAAAGAAACATTGCTCGAACAAAAGGCTACGTTTAAGAACACAAGCATCCATAAATATAACATACAGTCATACGGTTTGTCTGTTTTAGGTACATCTGCATTTGTTTCTCCATTTTAAGAACTGGTTGATTCTCTGACAGTGTTTGGTAACTTGTTCAGCTCCACAGAAGCCCTCTACATAACTTTATGTTTTAAAAAGGTTAGTCTTGGGTCTTTAAATAGTTGTCATTTACCAACATACCAACTGGGATCCAATAAAGCTCAAAAATATTCCTACAAATATAGTTTTCCAAGCAATATAGTCTATTGTTTAATAAACATGTCTAATTGCCCAGTCCTACCTCAAAGTCAAAGTTTCATATAAACAGACGCTACTGAGAGACCAGATCTGTCTTGTGTCCTTAAGTCACAGGTCTTGCCTCTTGCAGTCTCCGACTACGATGGAGTGAAAGCGGCTGACAGGGACTTCGCCGAGACGTTTATGCTACAGAGCAAATCTCAGTAAGCTCCTTAAGGACGATCATGTCAGGGGACAAGGCCAGTAAGAGAGGGGGGAATAAAATTCGTTGGTTGACTGCATCACTACCACCACCAAGAGCAGCAGAGTACCCGGGTTTCATTACAGACGTTTGTATTTGCATGTATTCAACAGTGCAAAATATCTGAAGATCTGAAGTTTGAACAGCAAACCAGGAACGTCTAGGGCTGAATTAATCGAAAACATAACTGATAAATTAAGTCCTGAACTTTTAACTGGTCAAACAGTAATCAATAACACATCAGGAGTCAAAACATGAAAAGAAATATCAGTTATTACATTTACTGTTAGTGAAATAACTGTGATAATGCTTCATAATATAAACCTAAGTCGCACCCGCTGGCCCCACACAAATCTACTTAAATGTACCATTTCATGTTCAAGTAGGGCGGAACAATATGGATATTGCACTTGGTCATACTGCAATTACTGCAGCCCTATGTCATGTAAGTCATGTGAATATTATGTATGTGTAACAGTTCTGTGAAACTACTTAAGTTTCCACTATGGATTGTTTCTGATTGCACAACACACAAAGAACTTTACAGTATATCTGGAGCAGACCTAGGTTAAAGTGTGTTCACATGTCAGAGTTCTTCATCAGCTTACGTCGAGGTACAACAATTCTTAACATTCCTAGGACTAGATACTCAAAGAATAAAATAATAAATAATAAAAAGGTCAGTCTGCATAAAGTTGCTGTAATTGCTAGACGGAAACTGACGGGAGAAACTAAATTTCTTGATTGGATTTAACAATGTGACAATCTCTGAAGGAAGCCGAACCAGCATAATATTAATTTAACACTCATCAGAATTATATGATCAGTGAAGTCAGAAGTGTACTGAGGTTAAACAGTTCACATTCTTTAACTTTTTCTGGCCCAAACAAATCTCTGCCTTTATTTTTCAGCCCTGTTAAGAAGTCCAGTCAAAGAGCGCACAGGCAAATGAGGGAGATTATATATTATATGTTTGCTTACTTACAGTCTCACAATCCATCGAGTCAAAACTGTGACCAACTGGAGGTCACGTTTGCAGAGAGCATAACTGTACAACCAGGCTGAGAGATCGGTTAGGCACGAAGAAGCACTGTACAGAAGACAATAAGGCACTAAAAAGATAGCAGGTAGAGTCATTAGATGGAATTATTCCCAATGCACACAGACCGGTAACCAATCACAATTTAACAAGAGAGAAAGCTGTCTGCTGAGCAGCAACAAAAGAGATTTGCATCCACAGGGAGCAGCACTTAACAACGGGGTTCAGATTTAATTGATTCTGCTCATCAACAATGTTTTTTTGATGAATTTGTTTGGATTGCTGCATGAAAAGAACTACAATTATATATATTAAAAAGTCATTCAAAGTCAAGCTAATTCTGTGTACAACTGAGGGCATCAAAAATGCCACAAGAATTCTCACAAAATGCCACAGGAAATGCTTTGTCACCTCCCTGTATTAAATAATTTTAACTGTCAATGCATTTGTATCTACTGTCTCTGGTAAAGGTTAGCAGCACTATTCAGCACAGTTCTTGAAACCAAACCCTCCACTTAAAAACTTAATCATGTGCTTTCCTTGTCTGTCAGTGTCCTTAGTAGTAGTATCTCAGAAATATAATGCATGTTATTTACTGACATCACCTTACACGACCTCTGAACTTTAAACTTGGACTGTTTATTTAGGTCTGCGTGGGGATGGATTGAGAAATACTTTAACAGGGATTTAACTCGAGCTTCCTGACACTACAATTCTGACCTTTGCTTCATTTAGTTTGCTCAACTGTGTCACAGTCATGTGTCCTCGTGGGATTTGAAGAATTTTTGAGGGTAGAAAGGCCATGATTCCTAGGAAGCTAGCTAGCTGCACAGTATAAAGTGAACGGAGGAATCAAAGAGCATTTATGCAACGTGAGCCCACAATAAGGTGAGGGTGTGGTGTCCCTTATTCCAAGTAAGTTTGTATAGTATGATTATCATTTAACATGACTACAAGGTCTCCCCACGGCATGTTTTGTTATGTGCAACTAACAACTACTGAACACTAAAACACCAACATGTAACTTGATATGAAGTGTCATTTATTTCTCAGAAGTTGACATCTATTCTCAATATGAGAAAGGAATTGCCACAATAGTATGGAAAAACAAAATCACAGTAAAGGTTCAAAGATCAGTAGCAACAGTTACATATTTGTAACTTATCCTGCTTTTAATGAGTACATACTGCAGATTTTCTCTAATTACAATAGAGTAATGGGTGCAGATTTAGGTGTCCTGTTAGATTTCATTCATAAATTGCACTACATTGAAGAGGAATTAACAAGGTCCATTGAATCAGCCTCCTATTTGCTTTAAATGAGGTGTCTTTTGTTGAAGATCTGGTCTGTGGATTCCAGTTCCATGTTAGCAGGTAATGAAATTATTGGCATCATCGAAATGACGCATTAAATTAAACCTAAAAGTAGTTTGAGTTTTTGTTCACAACCAGTTGTCTTGGTTCCCTTTTAATTTGATCAATACAGTATCTGTACAAAAAAGGCCTTGTGACCTAGTTCAACACTGAAATGTTTGCTTTGTAAAGCTCTTAACCTGCCTACATTTTTACAGTTAAATAAAAGCTTCTTATAACCTGGTCCTGTTTCCAACAGTTAACTCAACATCTCACTCTCGGCAGGCATGATTGTTGCTTCAACAGTCTGCTGCTTATCTTAATCATGGCTGATGACATCACGTGAACCTACCATTCAGCCAAAAATCACTAATGACGGATGGGAACAAGAGGATTTCTCAAACTGAAGCACCAAAGCTGCAGTATTCACCAACATTGAAGACCTTTTCCAGCTAATTCAGCCCAGAATCAGGATCCTATTCACAGATACATTTTGTAATGTTTATTATTCTTTTAGTCATTGGCTGAATTGCTGTTTATTTCGAACTGTTTGATCAATGGATGCATCACGGCAAACTACAGTGCAAACTACTGTTACCGACTGGTATACGGCGATGGAAATCTACATACACACACTTAATATTATTAATTAGCCAAATAATCACAAAAAACAGGGGTATGAGAGGGAGAAGATCTGTAAGCTGTAAGCTATAGGAACACCCAAACCTATTGATCTGGACAGAAAGAGTGAGAGAGAAGATAAAATGTGGCCCAGATGCCACGCCTACTGACTGCTTGGCACAACACGAGAGGAGAGGGAGAGACCCGGGTTTGCAGACAGTTATGACACAGGAGTTTACCTTTTGAATAAACTATGTAAACATACTGTTTCGTCAGCAAACGAGCAAGCTTATTAGCTGAGTTAGCTTTTTATCCCACTTTAGTAACTCTTAATTGAATGAAATGATGTTCAATCACAAGAACAAAATGGCAGGAAGGAGTTGCACAGCACAGTGCAGATAAAAAGGAAAGAAGCTTCTATGTCCTACCTGGCTACCTTGTGAGCAATTAGCTCACTGGCTATTGCAGCTCCCAGAGCCAAATATTTGGCCAGCACACAGGTTAAGCTCACGTTTTGGTGTGAACAGGTTTAAACACAAACAAA